TTGTAGTATAATTTCAAGTCAGGAATAGTAATGCCACCTGCCTTCTCTTTATTGCCCAGAATTGCCCTTGCTATTCTAGGTCTTTTCCGGTTCCAGATAAGGGCCAGGATTCTTAAAGTGATTATTTGCTATGGTGTTCTTACACTGGAGAAAATATTTTTGTTAGGGAACGGAGATAGCCATTTAAATCAATAAATATTAAGTTAGTGCTGAATTCTATTAAGGAATTTTTAGTCTAAAGTATATTTCTGACTTGCAGTGAAGTACTAGACAAAGCATAACATAATAATTTATTTTATTAGTTGTTTGATATACCTATGAACCCTTTCCTCTTCTCAAGGTAGTTTTTTGGCTTTATGTATTTAGTCAAGAGTTCACATACTCTTGTGTATTTTACATAATCTTCATTACTTGAAACTTTTTCTTCTCCTATCATCTACTTACTCTTTACATTACCAGTATACTTGCTTATATTCTTTGCTACAGTGAACTTCTTTGGGGGCTTTTGTGTCATTACCATAATATCATTTTCAATAAATTTATTTATTGAAATGGAATGAAATGTTAGTAGGATACTAAATAGGGAAATACTATTCCTTCTGGAAAGATAAGGACAGTTCAAGAAAGGAATATTTAGCTATAAACCTGAATGATGGTTGACATTGTGGTGATAGAAAATAATGCAAAGGAGAAAGAGCATCTGTAGAAGGAAAAAAGAAAAAAAAGGTGAGAGAATAGCATTTCCAGATTTTCAGAAGGATGGCTGGGGGTTTGATCCCAGGGCCTGCTGTGCCAGCCCTGCCCCCAGAGCTTGCTGAGGCAGCAACTGAGAATGGGTGTGGTGGCACAAGCCTGTAATCTCAGCTCTTGGGAATCTGTAAACAAGTGGATCACTATGAGTCTGATCTAGTAGTGAGACCCCGAACACCCTGTAGACCTTCCTAAAAAAATAAAAAAATAAAATAAAATAAAGAATCTTATCTGTGGTTGGGCTGGGGAGTGGGGAGATAGCTCAGCTGTCTGAGGACCTGACTGGCAAGCATAAGG